GAAAGTTTCTTATGTGCCTTTAATTATATAGTCGAGGTGCACGATATTGTATATTAATGTATAATAAACATATAAAGTTCATATGCATTTAAAAAAGAGCTATATACGCTATTAAAATACTACACTTTTTCCGACTCACCCGATATAACATCCGGTTGAAATTGCGAACGAATGTAGTTTATCAGCTTCACAGAAATCGATTCCTTCCTCCGTCCTGCGTATGTTTCGATTTCATTATCTATGTCTGAATTTTTTTTTCGATTCGTTGATCTTCCTGGTGTTACATGTACACTATACATTTTCGTTGGTACACTGACTTATGATAATTAAATCTCGTTAATCCTTTTGAAATCCTTTAAAAAAAATAACAGTTTTTTAGCTGAATTTTGTATTTCATTAAAAACTTAAATTCTTTAATTTTAACGAAAGAATAAAAAATTAAACAATTTTTTTTAGAAACATTTGTGTTAGATATTAATTTAAAAAAAAAATAAAAATTTATAACTACAGCATAAAAGTTTTACAATGCAAATTAATTTTACAATATAAAATATTAATCGCGTTTTATTCACCTAATTATTGCGAAATAAAAAGGATCACGACTGTGCGATTTTTTGTTTATTAACGAATTTTGATTTCGGAGAAATTTTATTTTGTCTTTTCACCTTAATAGTTGAAAGAGCGAAACTAATGATGCGAGTTGGCGCGTTGTTCGCGAAAGACTGCGCTTGAAATGCGTTAAAGGAAGCAGATAAATAACAGTAGCAGCAGCTGACAGTATTGCCTGCATGTATATGCATATATGGGTGCAACCGAATTGCACTTGAGGGCAATTTTAATGAGGTACTTCGTGTGGCGCGCAACACTAATTATACAGGCCAACTCGAAACATCTTTCCCTTAAGTTCTTCACAAGCTTATACTCATCGCAAGAATGGAAAGTTTCGATTAATTAACCAGTATTGTGTTTTCAAATTCAATTATTTTATATGTACATCACGTAGCCTACATATTATTTTGTATAACTTTCTTAAGAATGATTTATTATATTTTTTAATTTTGTTGTATATGTTACAATCCAATTATAAAATATAAAATTGCACTTATAATTGTTTATTTACTAATATGCTTAATCTTCCAGGAATATTATAATAAAGAATTGTAAAGTACTTCTTTATATTTATTACATTCTATATTACAACAGTTCAACAGTTATCATGATTATTTCAGCAAAAATTTGGAAAAAAATATAAATCCAGTGAATTATAGCTTTATATTTCCGAGTACTTCAAATACAAATTTTTGAATTTAAGTTCGTTGCTCAACAATAGTGGATTTCTGCGTTTCTTCGGTAATTGGAACTGGAGGATATTTCCCTTTGTGCCAATTTCCTTCCAAATCTATTGCACAATTATGATTGACAATCTTCGTCAGACACTCCTCGATTGCAGCATCCACATTCTCCGCAGTAATAAACGTGGCAGATTCTTCTTTAGCTTCTATGACCCTTTTTTCTAACCTTTTCGTAAGCATTTCATATTTTTGCTCTCGCCTTAGCAATGTTTGCAGAATAGCGTTTTTACGATTCTCTCTCATTTTTTCTAATCTGATGTCCCGTATCTTTGCTACTTCTGCATTCCATTCATCATTTATAGCACTGCATGCTTTAAAGTCCTCCTCTTCAACTTGCTTGATATTCATTTTGGGAGATTTTATCTCATTCTCCATTGCAAGTTTTCTTAAATGTATCCTGAAATATATTACTCGTTAATTAGCAAATTAGATAGTTTCGAGAATATTTTAAGTATGTTTTATTAGACAAAAATCATAGTTGTAAAATTATACGTTTTGAATACATACTTCAATGATGTCATATATGTTCGATAATTATTATGTAAACGCTTCAGTTCTACATAATCCTCCTCAGGTATAACAGATTTTTGTGGTACACGAAACATTTTGGTTTTCGCTGTAGGTAGCCAAATTGGTTTTCTCTTCCATCGCACACACTGCGTATAAACGGAATTTGGGATAAAGGTCTCACAGAGCCTTGCAGTGCCCATTGACAGGGCATTAGTATTCATCATCTTCATGGCTTGCATTGTTTGGCCTATGAAAAAATGTATTATCTTGAAAATTATATTATTATCGTTAGTTATTGCAAAGTTTATCGATATACTAACATTTTGTTTTTATATATTTAAGTTATATTGATTCTATTATCAAATATTTAAAGATTCTTTTAAATAAAAAAATTTAGCATACAATTACTATTAATAGTAATATTTTAATGGACGTCCTTTAAATAAATAAATGAAAATTAAAACCTACAGATATGATGTTAATAATCTTATGCTTGAAATAATGTAATAATAGTAATAAAGAAATAACAAATAAATAATACATACCATAATAATGTGTCATACCGTATAATGTGTTTTTGAACTAATATAAATCTTTTATTGTTCTATCGTTCCGCTTTTGGTTATGTTACTTATATTTTTCGCTTTCAAAAATGAGGTTATGGTGTTTTCCCTTTCTTCCATATGCATCAATTCATTGCGTCTGCGCAAAATTTAAATATTAGAATTATCTCTTCAAAATATTTTTAATTGTTATAATTTCATAATTTTACAAGGCATTTTATGCACAGTGTTCTATTTCGATTTTAATAAATTTCGTAGTATAAAATGAGACATGTATGTACAAAAAAAAAAACATTTTCTTGAAAAAGATCGATTTCATATCATGTATCGTTAAAATAGTGAGATAAAAAAAATATATTTTAAATAAAAATGATAATAATTATAAAGCTATTTTGCTACAGTACATTCAGATTTCTCGAAAATAAGCTTTTTGAAATTATTTACCATTGTTTCTAAAATTTTTAATATATAGTTCCAATATATAAATTTCTTATCAAACAAGCCTCACTTTTGTTATAAAAAAGATGTTAAATTCTCTAAAAGCCATAAGTGTTAAAAATTATTTTTCGAAAAATTTAAATTTGCTTCCTTAGAAGCAAAGATAAAGTCTGACTATATATAACAGAAAATGTTCAACAAATAAATATTTGTAGAATATGTTTATTGAAAATGATCGTGTATAATGCGATGTATCTATAATGTACAACAACAAAAAATCAAATTCCGCGAAATACATTCACCCGAGCTCCCTCGCGTGTCTTTCTTTCTTTTTTCCTCAAAACAGTAGTCGCATGCTCGCATTATATATATTAATTATCCTAATTACAATTAATGTATGTAATTAATTAACCTTCGTCACCACGCGGTACGACAATATGCATTCAACACAAACACAGATAAATCTTATCTCAACAATCGCTCTAAAAGTATTATCGCCGTACATGATTATTATCGTTATTGTATTTTTTTTCCTTTCCTCTCCCTCCCTCCGTTCCCTTTTTTTTTTTTTACAAATATGCCCGAACGCTGTAGAAATTACTTAAAATATATCTGCATCGACGATAATCACAGATATCAATTTGTATCTCTATAATAATCTCGTTCCTTTTTCTTTTCTCTCTTTGTTATGCCACTCGCGGATCGAACGTAGTCGGATTTCGCGCACCGGCGAGAATCAAGATTCAATTGTAAATCGAATGCGGGATTACGGTATAATTCTATTCCTGCATATGCGCAGGAAATTATTAACGGAAATAATTACGTGAGGATAATTACATCTCGTACACTCGCGGGACGTTTCGAAGACATTCGCGAAGTGCGTTCCTCGTCATTCGCCCCGATTATTCGAGTTTCGCAGAAGAACATCTGCGAAATCGACGTCGCTCTTCAATTCACCCTTTCGGAACGTCCAGCGCGAAAAAAAATCGAAATCTCACGTTCGTCATACATTTTCAACGTTTCGCAACATTGCAGCATCTCGTCAGGAGTATCTTTGGCTTAGACGCGGACCAGTTTGTGTCGCTTGCCTCGAAGAAATACGTAAGTAAGGAGAAAAAACAAAAAAGATCTGTTTTTGCAGCAATCCTCTTTCGACGAAGAAACATGTGTGTAACGAATATCTCGCGGGTTTTATCCCGGAAAAATTTCGGACTTTGAAGTTGAAGGGCTCCGGGCAGTACCATGCTAAATCGGTTTTCCGAACGATGAACGAAAACTGGATGGGGAATTCAACGCAAGGACGATTAATTATGATCCTCTGACGGCCAGACTTTGTGACGCGAAGTCTTCCAAGTCTCTCAAGATTTAGCATTCATTCCTCTAAAGGCAACATTCATAAAATTCGTGAACATAGTAGCAGTATTTCATGTACAAGTGATGAAACATTTTAAGTCTCTTTGTCGAGAAACGAGCTATTAATCTCACATTTAGCATGTCGATGAGCCCTCCAATTTATCGAGATCCGCATTTGCTTATTAAAAGTTTTGCGCCTTGTAGCTTTCATTTTGCGTAAAAAGATTCGTGGTTTGCTTTAGGAGCTGCATTTCGTTTTTTTCTTTTTTTCTTTTTTACTTTTCTACACTATCAGATTTCTAAGCACCATGACGATCGGATTAGAATTCGGATTATTATGTAGAACCACATAGAATTTGTAGGGGTTCGTAGAACCTTTTAGCAGCTTAGACTCCTACTTGAAATCGTAGGATCCTTAGAGCCTTGGAGCCGTTTCTTAAAAAAATTCTTACAATCATCGAAGTTTGAATCTGTTTTCATCGGCTTCTTAGACCTACGGACACCTCAAAATATATTATGCTTCGCGTTACAACGTTACAAGTCTAAATTTTTAGATCAGCGGTAGCTTAAGTTCTTATTCACGGGGTATGCTTAATCGCTCTGGAGTTAAAAATACAGTCTTGTAAGAAATCCTAAGTTTTACATATGTCCTTATATGCACGTAAACGATGGCACATGTGTTTCTAGCTTTCTAGCTTGGCTTTGTAAGCAAGTATCTCTTGTCGACAATATACTTGAGCTGTGTGTGTACATTTCATTGGTCAATCAAAGGAAGGCATTGTGTACATCGACGCGCTCCGCGTTTATTGCATTACTTCTCCTTCTAATCCTAGATTCTTTAACGGGCACGCAAGTCTCCGTCAAAGGATCTGGAGAGTATCGTTGAGAAATAATACGATAATCGTCGGATAACTTCTATGTATATATTCAGAGTGTAAGTTTTCTCTCGAACTTAGCTTAAACGGTAACGTTCAATCCTCATCTTCTTCACTCTCACCATCCCAAACAATTTTACCTATATCGTGGAAAATTTATTCACTCAGCAACATTAAGGCTGAATTGCAACAAAAAAACGAGAATAGATAAATATTATTTTGTCGTAAACAAGCGTTAAATGTTTCTTTCTATCTCTTTTTCTATTTTCGCAAATACGTGATCAATTAAAAAAAATATACATATACAT